AGGAACATATTATTTGATAATGAACTTCCCATTACATGATCAAGAAACTGCTTTGACCCACTATTTAAACACTTCCTTCCTCAAATTAAGAACCTAATTTGACCATTTAAAACAACGCTTGGGTGGGCTGTGAGACCACCACTGTTGAATAGAGCGTCATTAGTTTTTAATTAAATAATCTATACATAAAGTAATTGACCGATAAACTCAGACCCTAAACCGATGGAGCTACAAACTTGATGGCAGCTGATGCTTTATATGCTGCGAGCACCCTCTAAGAAAGGAGTCTCGGGTTCGGTTCACGGGTAGGACCAAATGTTTGTATGATCTACAAATATTTGTGTCGAAATTTGGGTGTTTTCTATGTATAATACTCGTATGTATGTTAAATACATAAGGAGAAGAAAAGTATATAAGTATTCTATCAGTCAATCTAGCTTTTATAGTACAAGCTCTGCTTAGTTTGAAACTAGATGGCGTTGTGTCAGGTGCTCGAAAATATTATAGTATTATTTTTTAACCCCCAACGCATGAATTGGCCAGCACGCAGCCCAGACCTCATCCCTATCGAGGATTAACAGGGCAGTATAGGACGAAACGGGAAACAAGGAAACGAGGATGTCGTGTGATCAAGGAGATTGGAACAAGGAAACTTATTGCACTGACCCCAAATAAATTTGATAAAAGGGTACGAAGAAGATGATAATGATTATTTTCTTTTCTTTTCTTTTTTCTTTTTAAAAAGACAACTCCCGCATTAGGAATATATATATCCTGTGTCGCGGGGGACTTTACAAACATACATGAAACGGACACAAAGAACACCTTTATAATAATAGGTAATAAATGATTCCTTCTCGCTCACAAAAAGTTACAGAAAGTAGTAATAGTCAATTAATTGGGACTAATCCCACCCACACGCCCACAACTCCTGTACACCAGGGTCCACAGCAATGACCCACGAACACACCGAGTTATGACACTCGGGAAGTCCCAGGAAGAAATTAAACCGCCTTGGAACACGCAACGAAATTAATTAGAAGAAAATTGGAGGAGTTGGAAATACAGTAAATCTACTTCCCTCCTTAGCAAAGCGTAGCGTCCACCTTAGTAATAGTCAAGACATACAAATCAAGAAACCTATGATTTGCGTGAAAGACTGGTTTCTGGATAACCAACCTCTCCTTACTGAGACAAGTAGGTGCTAGGGCTCTATAATCTTTAGCACATTTTCCGGCTAATTTCCAACAACATCATCATCATCAACAGTCTTTACTAGTCCACTGCTGGACATAGGTCTCTCCTTAGAAAGGAGGTTTTTGCCTATTATACCACGCTGGCCACGCGGGTTGATGTAGATTATACTCAAGAGGAGTAGGTGCTAGGTTTATGTAATCCTAAGCATAGTTTCCGTGTAATTTCCAATATCACCATCATCAATAGCCTTTGCTAGTCCACTGCTGGACATAGGCCTCTCCTTAGAAAGGAGGTTTTTGCCTATTATACCACGCTGGCCACGCGGGTTGATGTAGATTATACTCAAGAGGAGTAGGTGCTAGGTTTATGTAATCCTAAGCATAGTTTCCGTGTAATTTCCAATATCACCATCATCAATAGCCTTTACTAGTCCACTGCTGGACATAGGCCTCTCCTTAGAAAGGAGGTTTTGGCCCATGATACCACTCTGGCCAGACGGGTTGGTACAGGGTTTGTTTCGTTTTGCTTCTCTTTGCAGTGCTGCTGTCCTGCGTAGTTTGCTCCCTTAGTCGGCTTTTACGACACCCACGTGATGAATAGGGGTGGTGAAATTCTGTATTCTCAATCTCCGTCACTATCTGGACCAGCATGTAGATTTCCAAAATGTGAAATGAATAAACGAATTAGTTAATCTATACTAATATTATAAAGCTGAAGAGTTTGTTTGTTTGTTTGTTTGAACGCGCTAATCTCAGGAACTACTGGTCCGATTTGAAAAATTCTTTCAGTGTTAGATAGCCCATTTATCGAGGAAGGCTATAGGCTATATATCGTCACGCTAAGGTCAATAGGAGTGGAGCACCAATGAAGAATGTTTCAAAAACGGAGAAAATTTATTACTATTGAGAGACGCAGACGAAGTTGCGCGGGTCAGCTAGTATACCATAAAGTCATGTATTATTGAGTGAAATGATGACGACATAAGACGCCGAAAACCCTTCTTCGATCAAGTTTTGAGCGCTTTTTACCTCCTAGAGGATTAGGATAATTTATTCCAACATCGTATAAGAGGTGTTCAGCATGTATAACGCGTATATAACCGCCCACACGTGCAAGTAACAAAAAATATTAAAATTTAAGGAAATAACAAAGTCATAGAGAAAATCGTGTTTTTCTATTACAGATGAGTTATTTTTTCTTTATGTAAAATTTATTAATCTTTACTATACTACTAATAATATGTATAATATTATAAATCTGAAGAGTTAGATTGTATGTTTGGTTAAACGTGATAATTTCAAAAACTACTGGTTCAAATTGAAAAATTCTTTAAGTGTTAGATAGCCCCTTTATCGAGAAAGGCTATAGGTTATATAACATCACGCTACGACCAATAGGAGTCGAGCATAAATGAAAAATGGTGCAAAACATATTCCTTTTGAGAGAAGCGGACGAAGCTGCGCGGCGCAGCTTTAACATAAACTGTCAAATAAGAGTTTATAGCTTGCTTTAAAGAGTATTTAATTGTATATTAAACATTTAAATTGCCCATAGACCTATAATATTATACATATTTCTGCCTATTATTATGAATAATTCAAAACCTGCTGACTGGCTTGTTAAGTTAGTGGCAATGATATTTTAATTGTTTGTATATATTATTTATTTATTTATTTATACATCATTCATTTTTGGTGCATTGGCGGACTTAATGCCTAAGGCATTTTCTACCAGTCAACCTTTGGGTGACGCAGAGAGAACAGGTATATGGTCATTGGCCAACACCCCTTTTCAAAACGTGGGTATCGTAAGAGCCGATTAAGGTTGCAAACTATAGTTTAGGCACAGGACAACAGCACTGCAAAGAGTGGGAAAACTTGGCACAAACCCTATACCAAACCGTCTGGCCAGCGTGGTATAGTAGGCCGAAACCTACTTTCTAAGGAGAAGCCTATGTCCAGCAGTGGACTATTCAAGGCTGTTGATGATGATGATGATGATGATGATGATAAATATTTATTTTATATTTTATAAAAAAGGATTTTTTATCCGTGAGCCATGTTCGTGATTGCAAACACCAATCAGAAAATATCACGCGATCACACAATTTTGACAGCTTATTAACCAATCAGTTGTCTTGCTTGTATTGTCTTTAGTTGGCGCGAAAACAAAAATAGAAATTTGGTGTAGATTTATGTGATTTGAATTTGTTGCAAACTATTCAAGTATTTTAAATGTTTAATTTTTTCTGTGTACTTACATAATATGTGTACTCACAAAATATGTGTACTCACAAAATATATGTACTTAGTGTTAATTTTACACTTACATTAATTTACATACATGATTATGTCTCTAGTCACGCACGTGACCCAAATGCCTCTATTTTTGTCCTATTTTTTCTTTTAAATAAAAATCTGTATACTCTAATTATATAAAAAACGTTTCATGTGTTTAAAGTAATAAACATTACTTTAAACACATGAAACGTTTAAACTATTTTTTAATGTTGGCAACGCCTGGATTCAGAGGTACATAATAGGTACCCAATGATTGTATTAATTAACGAAGTATTAATTTAAATTAAACATTATCATGCTATAATTAAATTAACGCCAACGCCATCTTTTATCTATATTACAATCTTTTCGTTGCAATAAACCATGTTGTTGTAACGAAGTAATTCTGACAATACCAGATAGATGGCGTGATTATCAAAAATGACATAGTAAATTAAATTCGACGTTGCAATTGATACTAATTTTGTTTTTATAATAGATGCCGTTTTATAGTATTTTTATTTTATTTGGGACAAAAAACAGTTTTAAAGATTTGTACACATTTTTGGCCAAAGATATTATAATGTGTTATTATTTTAGTTGTTTTTTTTTCTACAAGACTGAAGTGTACCAGAAATTACACATAATTCCCAATGATTTTCTCTTACTCTAAATTTAAATCTATAGTGCACCTAGTCACACATATCAGCACCTGTGGTAGACTGGAAGAAAATTCCTGTGGCATTAAGTCCGCCAGTGTAGAATCCATACTTGTGCATAAAGTATTAAAATAAAAATATTTGTACAACAAAATCATTTTTTCAACAGAAATCGCAGACTTAATACTATGTACTTAATTTATTTTTAAGCCTGTCCTAGGAGGTTTTGGTCTACTATACCACCTAGACAGACGCGTGTGCCGGACGTCGCCTAAAGAGACGAAAAATTTTGAGACGGAGCCCGCAACAGGAGCGGGCCGGCGCTGGGAGGGGTTCAGAAGGCGATAAATACCTGGACCCCTCCTAAACTGGAAGCGCAAAGAGGGCACACCGTGTGGTTTTAGTCGGTTCGAGTCCGACACACCGCCCCGCACAACGAGAGCCCCGGCGGGGTGACGGTCCGAGGGGATTTCCACATGCTAAAAAAAAAAAGGGTTCGCTTCAAGTTTCATTTCCCTTGCAGTACTGTTGTCCTGCGAAGTTTGCTCCTTTAGTCGGCTTTTCGACACCCATAGTATGAATGGCGACACACTGTATTCTTAATCCATTACCACACGGATTCTTTGTCTTGTATCTATAGGTAGATGTTCTAAGACATATCATCCACTGTCATCACTCACCCCTATACTTAGTTTTGATGGTAGAAATATTATAATAATTTTTGATCTACCCTCAAATGGTATCCTCCAACTGGTTATTGGAATCGACCATTTCTTTGTGACCATTTGACCATCATGCTTCCATAACTAAATGATTTTCAAACCTGAAGTATTTTATATCGAACTTTGTGTTAAAAAGGTTCAAAATGAGTACTTTTATGTTAATTCTCCGTATCTTCGTTTATGTAGTGATTGTGTGTCCGGTTGTGTGGTCTCATACTCGCGTGGAGAGAAGACACGTGACGCGTGGACAAGGTATAATGCTTAAGTTAATAAATTCATTTATGAAATAGTCCTATTATAATATTTCAAATCCATTTGTAATGGAGATACTGACATCAATATGTTTGTTTTCAGGTTAAGTTTTTGATTGTACACGTTAAATTTTGTAAAAAATATTGGATATACTTAGTAGTATATCCTATGTTTCTGAATTCAATTGAATTCTTTATTGGTGAAAACCGCATTAAAATCCGTTGCTTAGTTTAAAAGATCTAAGCGTACAATACAATAAAGCAACTTTATTTTATACTATGTAAAGGTTAAACCTCTAAATAGGTTTTAGAGGTAATGACATAAATATATTTAAGAAATTGATGAAGCAGTTTCATCTTGGACATTAAGTCTGAAGAAAATAAATTGTTGAACGAACCCTTAATTCACTGTCAGTGAATCACAACAGTGGTAAGGTTTGACGATTAACCTAAGTATCTATACTTATATGTGATTTAAAATAAGTGATTAAAGTACTGTCTTCAGTGAAATGCTTTGAAACAAACAGTTTCTCTGTAGACGGCATTTTTCTCGGTTTCTTAAAAGACAACTCCCGCAATAGGAGTATATCTTGTGTCGCGGGTGACTTTACAAACATACATGAAACGGACACAAAGAACACCCAGACTCAGAACGACAATTTGTGGATCACACAAAGTACATACTACATTCTGCGTAGTAGGAAGCGGCGTGGAGAGAGCTGGAACCACTACACCATAAGTCTAAAATCTAGAAATGAGACTGATATCTTAAATCTGGTTAATGGTTCTTAACAGGTGAAAGAATCCTAGGCCCAGACTAAAATTACTTTTTTTTCAGAGCACCTTCACAAGCAAGAGCCTCCGTGCGCCAGCTGTCCTCGTAATGGCAGGTGCGTCCCAAAGGTGCAATGTCCTGCCCACCTGCGCCCAGGTTCAAATAATCCATCTTGTCACATGGATAACTTTGTGGGCGTCTGCTGCTTAACAGGAAGTCAGCACGCTGGTGAGTCGGTCTAAGTACAGCTTGAAAATCCTTGAAGAGATTCAAACTACTGAAGACAAGAGCCTCAGTAGACGACACATGCTATTCCAGAATGTTCACAACTTTCTAGAACTGGAGTAATAACTAGGGGCAGCATGTCATCCTAGATAAAGTGGGCAGGAGCCCCACAGGAAGAAGGCTGCTACCACAACATTACATTCATCTAACGTAACATACTAAAAGTACATGTATGCTTTTCTCAGAGGTTTCCATCGTGGTTTTATTCTGATCTTTGAGATAATCATTAAATATAATACGTAAATATAATTTAAATAAGCACGTAGGTTTCTCATCGAGTTCTAATTAATTCGAACAGTCCATTGTAAAAAGACTAGGATCAAATGTTAAGACCATTCAGCTGAAGGCTGCTGCATTTATGATTACGAAATTTCTTTAACCATTTTCTTCTTCGCAGGTGAACACGAACGAAAGTCGCGAACATCTTCTTCCATCAGCGTAGAAGACATCAAACTCTCCCATGATCATTCTCGAAAGAAACTCGCGCAATGGATGAGCAATGCTGAAAAACTAGCGGACAAACCTGTCCATACCATTGTTAATACCACTACACCAAGTTTTGGGCATCATTTAGTGAGTAAATGAGGATTTTTTAATAGCAATATATTTTATCTTCTATACAAATAAATAAAATTGGAGTGTCGGTTTGTAATATTAAAATAACAGCATTTTTATTAAATGCATATGTATGTTTACACGGTACATATGCCAAAATAATTGTCTGTCTGTCTGTCTGTCTGTTTGTTCCGGGTAATCTCTGGAACCGCTGGACCGATTTCGACAGGACTTTCACTGGAAGATAGCTGATGACATAAGGAGTAACTTAGGCTACTTTTTTTAGGCTAGCTTCGCCCCGCGGCGTTGCCCGCGGTTATAATAACAAACGCGGGTAACACCGCGGGTCTCAGCTAGTAATAAATATAAATTACTAGCAAAATAATAGTAGCACTGCGCGTTTTTAGTTTTTTTTTTTTTTTACTAAGATTGGTTTTAACCTATGCCACATATTGTTAGGATCCTTGTTTATTCCTTCAACTGTGCTAATTACAAATGGGTTAAAGTTTGTAATCGACATACTTGGGTAGGTTTTGAACCCGAAACCACTTAATTGACCAGTCTGATGCCTATACTTGCACTTATAACGCGATGAAGGTTCATTATTTTTGTAATAAGACTAAAAGTATTCATAATTTATCGCAGGCAAGCCACATTGTTTTCTGTTTAAATCAAAGGTTTCTTTTTATACAGTATTGTAGTTAGTTTTAAGATGAACCTTCAGGTCTGCTATTCCAATAATAACCCCGGTAATTAAGAAAGTCTGGTCAGAAATTGTATGTTCCAAGAATCCTCGCTTTCATTGTAGCAGTGAGGGTGAAACCTTATGTATGTACTAGCTGAGACCCGCGTTTGTTGTTATAACCGCCTGCAACGCCGCGGGGCGAAGCTAGTCTAAAAAAAGGAGCCTAAGTTACTCCTTATGTCGTCAGCTATCTGCCAGTGAAAGTCCCGTCGAAATCAGTCCAGCCGTTTCAGAGATTACCCGGAACAAACAGACAGACAGACAGACAAAAAATGTAAAAAAAAATATTTGGGCATATTTACCGTGTAAACATACATATGCATTTAGTAAAAAGCGGTTATTTTAATATTACAAACAGACACTCCAATTTTATTTACTTGTATAGATGTAGAAAATAAAGTAATGTTTATTCTGACAGTCTCTGGTGACTTATGACCCCCGAGCAAATAAACTGGGGCGCGGTGGCCTCATGAACCTGTTCGCCACACAAGATTTGAAGGCACGTGATGCGGTCACTGACGATGAGTTACTATTGGGTCTAACTGGTGAAACTGATGGTAAATTCCGTATTTTATTAATTTTACACTCAGATATCAGACACAGTTTTGTTATCTGCCATCGCATTGTACAACATAACTAAGTACTTCAACTGAAATCAAACTCACCTTGGCAGGATCTCAGTACTGACAACACATTTCTTCTGGAACAAGTCAAATCCTTGTCCTTTTACTGGAGACTTGAAGAAAGCCGGTGATAGATTGCCGGGCGGATGATCTCAATATCATCTGCAACTTGATATGTGATCAGTTCAACGGCTGTCACTAGACCTGGATTAATGTTCAAAACAAAATTAAGTTTACTCTTTTCTCCTTTAACTATATCTGAAATACTATCAAAATGAAACAAAAATTCACAACTAGCCGAGATTTAGCAAATCACTTCATAATATTTATTCAAATTAAAAACATTTCAGGTCCATTCTGCTTCCCACAACCTGTTTGCCAGCCTAATAGCCGCTACAGAAGCATTAGCGGAGAATGCAACAGCCTCAACTTTCCCACTTGGGGAGCGGTACATACTGGATTTGAGAGACTCCTACCACCGGACTATAACGACGGTAAACCAATGGTAACTTAACTTTTGTGACACACACGTCACAAAAGTTAAGTCTAGAATTATGATGGCAGGAACACCAGTCTTATCTAGGGTGAGACGGGGCCATGCCTGTCGGAATAACAGGAGATAGATTGCAATGATAATTCTCATGTCTCTCAGGCCGGCTCGACCGGAGTGAGACACACAGAGAACCGGTATTAACCAATTCTTTTGTTACTTTTCACCGATTGAGTGAAGTTACCAGGACTCAATCCTCCCCTCACTCTAATAGAGCGACAAGGTAGGGCACGGTAGATCGATTTTGGGTTTAAGCGGTCGCCACACCGCTTCCTACTGCGCTGAGTGTTGTGGTTTTGATCCCACATGGGACACCACTTTGTGTGATCCACAAATTGTCGTTCTGACTCTGGGTGTTCGTTGTGTCCGTTTCATGTATGTTTGTAAAGTCCCCCGCGACACAGGATATATGTATAATATACACCGGAATGTATAATATATACAATAAAACACCGGGTCACTATTTAACCGGTTACCAAAATCTAACACACAACGTCATCTAGTTTCAAACTAAGCAGAGCTTGTACAGTGAAAGCTAGATTGACTGATAGAATACTTATATCCTTTTTTTTGTAAATACATACATATTGTACATAGAAAACACTCAAACTCAAAAATGAATCGTTATTGTAATCTTGCTCACACGTGGTACAGGTAAATTAGCTTCGAGAAATTTTTGCGTTTGTAGTAGTGGCACCTGCGGACAGCGTAAACTGGTTTATTCTGGTTTTGTGCGTGTTTCCACTTTCCACTATCAAGTGACGATTTTTTGCTTTAGAGTGAAATATCTCGGAAACGGTGCGTCCTAAGCCAAAAATAACAAAAATTTTGACCCCCCGTAGACCCCCGGAGTTTTAGAAACCTAGATGAAAGGAAAAAAAAAAAAAAATTAAATATCGGTCTCTCCTCTTTGAAGTTTCACTTCTATCGTGTGTGAATCGCACACACACCTTTTTTTTTATAAAGTCAAAACCTTTTTCTTTAAAATAAAAACTTGTTTTTATTGAAAAAAAAAATCAGAGTGTTGCTAGGGATAAGTATAAAATTAAATAGTAATGTTAGGATATCGAAACATTTTTGTATAGGCCAGAACGATATAGTGGAAACGCGCTCTAAGATCTGAGTAATATACACACCACTACATATGCAAAAATTTCTCGAGACTAATTTCACTGTATCGTCTTTGTAACTTTATATTTTTCCTACTGTTACACTTACTTTAAATTTCAGGAACTTGGGCTTTAAGAAAAGCTAAATCTGGCCTTCCTCTTCCAAGTGCAAGGCTTGTCAGTAGTACTCTGCTCCTAGATGGAAGTCATCCAAGCCCGACCCATAACCTGATGTTTATGCAATTTGGGCAGTTCATCTCTCACGACACCAGTGCTGGCGTTGTTTTTAATACCGGTATGTTTTAGTCAGACATTATTATGATACATTAATATACTATTTATTTAAATCAGTTTTTCATCAAGCGTTCAAATGGTAGAATCTAGTATGTAAAAATAAGCAGAGAACCAAGGTCACCGACATAGCCTACTGGATTAACAAGCTGAAGTAGCAGTGGGCTGGCCATATTAGCCGCAGAACCGACAACCGTTGGGGAAAACGAGTTCTTGAGTAGACAACGCGTCTCGGCAAACGTAGTGTAGGACGCCCACAGGCCAGGTGGAGTGCCGATTTGCACAAGATGGCTGACAGGAGCTGGATGTGAGAAGCCCAAAATCGATCTAATTGGTGTGCAATGTTAGAGGCCTATGTCCAGCAGTGGACTGCGATAGGCTGATGATGAATAATAAGCGGTGACGTCACAGGTTGCTATTGTCAAATAATTTGCTTGTGTTGTTTTGACAATTAAAATGATAATAATATGACTCTACATGACACATCTCACACACGGCCACCTGAACTCAAATCTGACAGATTATGCTATAGTTACCAGATTGCTGATAAACCATACTTATACAGGGTGTAAAGGACGTCGTAACGAATACTGAATTGGTGTTTTCAAACCACCATTCTAAGTCGAAAATCATTTGAATTTTTGGTGGAAAATTAACCTTTTTATGCAATCAGCTGTCAAAGGTTAAGGTTATTCCCCGTAGCACAAAAGTAATAACTACATGACGTGTATTTCATGCAAACAGTCTACGTACATTAACACAAGTTGGCGGCTAGAGGGGAGGCCCTACCCGCTTCGGCTGTTGGTTCATTACGTTGCAGTTTTACTGTATGCGGTATTTATTAAACTGTTCTGGTTAATCATTGTGATATTATTTTTCGTTATTTTTAACCAAAAATATGGAAAAAAAATTGGATTTTCGACTCAGAATTATTCTCAGTATTCGTTACGACGTCCCTTACACCCTGTATATTTCTCAATACTTACGCCTTAGACACAGAACTAATGGTTGTGCTCAAACTCAATATTGGTCCAGGATGAAAATGGAACTGATATCTCTGTTCAGTCAGAGCTTAGCGGTTTAGAATATCTAGCCACTACCCACAGACCAATCAAGAGTTACGAAGATTTTTGTAGTTTTGTTTTGCACATTACCTTAAAATATGTAAGTAGAAATAATTTAATACCTATCCTGTTTTTTTTGTCAGGAAATGGCAGCGCCATATCGTGTTGCACAGAATCTGGAAGTCTCCTTCCACCAGAGCTCCAGCACTTCGCCTGTGCACCTATAGTTGCTGCCACAGATGATCCATTCTATAGTGATTTTGGGCAAACTTGTCTAAATTTTGTGAGAGTTCAAATCGCTCCAGCAAGTGATTGTTCCATTGGATATGGCAAACAGGTACATACATTAAATATGTATAAATGTATAGGTAATGTATGGCTTTTGTAGTGCTATGGTAGTATGGCTTAATAAACAGTGATCAAATGGAGTTAGGGGTGCGCAGCCTACCAATTCAATTATCCTTCGGGGCCATTCTTTTTTCTTTAGGCAACTCTGGATAATATATATGCATTTCAAGATAATCGATAAAATAATAATGATCCTTTAAATAATTGTATTTTGAATCTTACTTGGCGCATTGCCAATAATGGCCTAAATTCTGGTACCTTTTAAATTGTTTGTTGATAAATTACTTTAAATTTAAATTTTAAAATAATTAATTATTAAATTGTTGATTAAGTTGATGTGACGATATGTACATCGTTATACCAACTTTACTTGTAGGTTAAGTAGTCACACAACGCCATCTAGTTTCAAACTAAGCAGAGCTTGTATCATGAGAGTTAGATTGACTGATATCCTTATATCCAATTTTTGTACATACCTTTGTATTATACGAAAAAACACCCAAACTCCGAAACGAATATTTGCAGATCATACAAATATTTGGTCCGTTCCGGAAATTGAACCCGAAACCACGGCACAGCAGTCGCGTACGCTACCGCAGTCAATTATAACTGTAATCAATATAATTTTAACCTACAAAAGCCAAATTATGTTTAGATGAACGGTGTAACTCACTTCGCTGACCTCTCCCATCTCTATGGCTCATCAAGAGAGAAGTTATCATCGCTCAGGGCTGCTGAAGGTCTCCTAAACACCTTTAATGACTATGGGAGGGAGTTGCCTCCGCTCACTGAGAGGAAAGAGTGTATGTCAGTCGCGGAAGGTGCTGCTTGTTTTGAGTCAGGTAACAATAAAACTAATTTGTGGTGTCTGTGCTGTACTAAATCCTGTTTTTTCTTTTTATTGCCGTTCGGAAATTCCCTCATATAGCCTACTGGATGACCGGTGGGATGGTTAAGTCGGATTCGCACCAACTAAAAACCACACCAATTTACAATGGGGTATATTTATTACAGTACCACACCTCATACAGATAACAGGTAATTTTTTACTACATATTTGCAGTTTCTTTTATTGAGAGTGTCACAGACTTCGACTGGTGAACTGTTCTTTACAGACGGGAACATACATTCCAAAGTCTGCGCACTATATTATACGTCTAAATGGCGAGCTATCTTATACTTTGATAAGTATAACAAACACCTTAGTGACCTAGAAATCTTACTTGCTTACTAAAGATTTTTACTATTATATGAAACACGTAATAAAACAGAATAAATATTTTATTTTATTTTATTTGGGGAGCTTACAGCTACAGTACAAGTACATCAGTAATTTAGTTGTTGAAAAACCATTAACAAGCTTCCACAGATACACAAGAAACATTCTACTTAATTTACATTCTAATTAAATTATCAAAGATGAAAACAAATTAAAACACATGCAAAACCAAGAGTCACAGCTCACAATGCAGTAGTGCAGGCAACACTATCAGCAAATCTGACGGTTTTTTTAATTCGATATTTTTTAATTCCCACAGGTGATAACCATGGCAATCAAATCATCTCGCTGACTGTACTTCATACGATCTTCACCCGCGAGCATAATCGCATAGCTAAAGCTCTGGCAGTCCTCAACCCAGGCTGGGATGAAGATACTGTGTTCTTTGAAGCGAGGAGGATCCTGCAGGCGGAGTTCCAGCACATTATCTATAATGAGTGGCTGCCATTACTTCTGGGTAAGCCCTGGATCACAGTATTGTATCAATTTTCAGTGTCATATTTATTAATAAATTTTTTATCGATACTTTCATACTAATTTTATAAATGTGAATGTGATATTGTTTGTTTGTAACGTTTTCACGCCGAAACCACTAAACTGATTTCAAAAACTCTTACTTTTTCATCATCATCATCATCATCAACAGCCCTTATTTGTTTGTTTTGAAGTTTTGACTTCTTAGATTATAGACTATTCAAAGGTTTAATGAAGTAAGTATTTATTAAAAAAACACGTAATACATTATTACTATATTTCAGGTCCTCAATTAATGAACATATTTAACCTATCACCGGCTCCAGAATACTCTTCTGGATACGACCCAGGGCTCAACCCATCGCTTACGTCAGAGTTCTCTACGGCTGCCATGAGATTTGGACACTCAGTGATCGATGGAAAATTAATGTAAGTGTGTTAAAGCTCATCATGCTTTCCTGGATTCTTTCCTTTGGATTATTTTGGGTAAGTTGGAAGAATGGATGAAAAACGAACGAATTAAAGAATTTATAAGGTCTGTGTTAGAGAGCGAGCCGGTGCGAACAGCCCAAAAGACATACACTGAACAGATCAGAAGTGCCCTTTTATCGATTTTATTTAAGGTCGACACAATGTGTAACATTGTAAACTCTGACGCCAACCAGCCTTGAGGACTAACCATTGTCAGACTGGATAAATGAAGATGCTAAAAATAGAGTAAAAAAACGGATATCGCGAATATCGGACAGAGAACTGAATTGAAACTGCAGGAACTCGAAGAAGCATGAAGGCTCGAAGAAGCAGGAACTGAGATGAGTCCTGCATTTAAAGAGTCCACCGGAAATATACAGGCTTTATTCCATAGTTTTTTGAATCATAGATGATGTAATTGTGTCATAATTAAATTCTTCCTGTATTACAGGATCCCAAGCCCTGCAAAAGGTGGAATATATGAGACGATCTCAATTCCTGAAGTAATGTTCCAGCCGACAAGGATGCGACTGAAACACTTCTTGGATCGTCTGCTGATCGGTCTGGCTTCACAGCCCATGCAGACTGTCGATCCTTTCGTCACTGAGGGAGTAAGTTTAGCAAGATACTACGTTTTAAATTAGTAGTTATAGTTTTATACACGATTAGATGGTCCTGACGTTCAGGCAATAGCCAGTTCGAGTTACAGCTAAACGGTTCTGGTCTACTCGAGCTATTTATTTCCTTATATCTATCAATCCATCTGTTGAAGTAATATCCTATCACTGTCTTCTCTTTTTAACTACTTTTCTTTTCAATAAAAACCTATGTCTGGCATCGAATTCGTAATGAGCCCGATTGACACCCATAGACTCGCCCTACAAATCATCATCATCATCACTCTCCAGGCCTCTCCTCAGAAAGGATGTTTTGATCCACTATACCATGCTGGCTAGATGGGTTGGTACAGGGTTGGTTTCAAGTTTTGCTTCTTTTTGCAGCGCAATTGTCCTGCGTAGTTTGCTTCCTTAGTCGGCTCTTACGACACTAGGAGTAGTGACACTCTGTATCTCAATCCGACACCACATGGAATTACGGGCTTAAATTATAGTCAACAAAATTTAGGCCTTTATTATTCCTGGTATCCTTGGGGATTCCGGGAATATAGGTGTGACTGTATATAGAATATTTTATGGCCTGTATCAGCTTGCTCAGTTTAGTTGTCTGCTAATGTGTCCATACTAATGTTTGTTTTCAGTTAACTCGATATATGTTTCACGGCGGTAACCCGTACGGCATAGATCTGGCTTCTATCAATATCCAGCGTGGTCGTGACCACGGTGTGCGCTCCTACAACGACTATAGGCGGCTCATTGGTCTGCAGCCGTACCTGGACTTTCAGGAATTTTCTCCTAGTGTAAGTTCTGCACTATAAATTGTTTATTAAAGGTTACTAGACTGTAGGTAGTTCACTAAATTCTTAGGAATATATCTTGTATCGCGGGGGACTTTACAAACATACATGAAACGGACACAAAGAACACCCATACTCAAAACAACAAGTTGTGGATCACACAATGTGTCATCCCATGTGAGGATCGAACCCACAACACTCAGCGTAGTAAGTGGCGTGGCGACTGCTTAAGCCACTATTTGTCAAGAGATTGACACTAGCATCAATTCATTAAGTATTTGATCTTAACTTAGGTGTCGAATTTACCGTGGCAAAGTCATATTTCGGCACGTAGGGGAGGGCTCGACAGGAATGATACCACCACGGCATCACAGGAAACTTTTTTTAAGCAATTGTTTCTTTACTTTTCACGTGTGCACGAGTGCTTGTGGTTAACGTAAACTCAACCATACCCGTCCCCACAAATCTTGGGGGAAGGGGTCGGTACACAAATGGTGGCAACGCACTTGTATCTCTTGAGTTGCAAGTGTCCATAGGCGGCGGTAGTCACTTACCATCAAGGTACCATTCTGCTGTCATGGTACGGAAAGTCTACACAATGACTGTTCAAGTTATATATGGGTTCAATTTCCATCCAGCACGAATATTTTTTATCTATGAGAGTGATCATTTTGTACCGTATCTTACTATGTTGACGGGCCTTTTGGTCTAGTGGTTAGTGACCCTGACTGCTAAAACGGAGGTCGTGAATTCGATTCCCACCCAGGACAAATATTGTGTGATAAGCACGATCGTTTTTTCTATGTCTGGTAGTAATTTATTAATTGATTTATCACCATCCTGATTAGCTTATCGACATCGTCTGCTAAACGGAGGCCTCCCTAACGAGCGCCAACTATCATGGTCTTGGGGCTGCCCAATCCCTCCGCTGCCAGCAACTATCTTCACGTCATAATTTGTCTATATTATGATAATTTAACAGTTGTCCAGTTACCATCCATCTAATTTAGGATTACACGATCTGAAAGAAAAAGTACATTTTGATTAAATCATTTATATTACAAATACCAGGCTGCTCAACGCTTAACCACGGTCTACGAAAGACCAGAAGACATAGATCTATGGATTGGAGGTCTTCTAGAAGAGCCAGTGGAAGGAGGTATAGTGGGCCCGGTGTTCGCCAATATCATAGCTGATCAGTTCGCGAGGCTCAAAAGGGGGGACCGCTATTTCTACGAATATGGACCGGATATTAATCCAGGAGCTTTTACTCGAAGTAAGTGGATGTCATAATAATTACACCAAAGAATACTGAAGCGGGATCCTTCTGGTCTTTAATAGTAGGTGGTCCTTCTGAATTATTTTAATTTAAGTATGTACACATACTTACATTACTTTGTACAATAATTTTCTTGAACCGGGAATCAAACTAAGTATTGCACGCAATTGTTTATAGCAACTTGGCTAAACGACTACTGTCATCACTTTTAATATATGTATATTAATGCTAATAAAATTTTATGTAATTCAGAATGAAATACTCTGCAAAATTATTAAACAAGATTAATTCAGGATTCTCTTTTTTAAATCTTATCAACTATTAATAGCAGTAATTATTTTGTTAACCTCTTAAACTAATCTAAGTGGGTTCAAAGTGGTGTGGTGGGCGAAGTTCGAACCTGCTAGACGCCCTCTAGAATATTCTAAAACTTTTTCTAATAATTAAATTATTGTACGATAGGCCAGTTAGCAGAAATAAAGAAGGTAACGATTTCCCGGCTGATTTGCGACAACAGTGATGGCATAGAGCTGTTCTCCCAACCGCCTGCAGGTTTCCTCAGAGCAGATTTACTTGGGTACGTATTTAGTTACACCAATATACCAAACATTCTAAATATGTGTTCGATATATCATTGTTACTTTCGACCATAATGTTATTTAAGACCTTTTTTTTTTTTTAACGTGTGGAAATCCCCTCGGACCGTCACCCCACCGGGGTTTGCGGCGGGGTGGTGTGTCGGACTCGGACCGACTAAAACCACACGGTGTGCCACTCTGCGCCTGTAACAGGAGGGATCCGGGAACAGCTGTTGTTAAGACATCCGGACCCCTCCTAGCGCCGGCCCGCTCCTGGTGCGGGCTCCGTCTCTAAATTGTTCCTCTCTTTAGGCGACGTCCGGCACACGCGGACGCCGCCCCCTCGCGGCTGGCCAAACTATTGTTATTTAAGACTTTAATTAAGTTTATAATGTTATTTAAGACCTTAACCCAACCTACCTTGTCTTATCCCCAATCTTAAATAGATTATATTTTCAAGTCATCAGGCAGGCACTCGACCATGACTGCTCTGAGAGAGACTAGTTAAACTCAATTTCATTGTAGCAATGTTCACATTGGCCCTAATTAAAAGAGATATGTGCGGTAAAACTATAATGACAATTATAAGTTTTCTTTCTTTTTATATCCTTAGAAGTAACGAAAGCCTGATTTAATATTTAGCTTTTCTAAGTGTGTATTGTTTTGCCGTCGTTTCCTGCAGCTTCCACGGCTTTAATGGTCCGTGATTCGCTCCTAAATAGGTGTAACTTACTTTTTAGAAATAAATAAGTGTGTTTATCAGCAGACTGTTTACCATTGTACAGGCTCTGCCTAGATTAGGAGGACTGTGTGTGAAATGTGTGAGGTTTATATCGTTAAATATATTTAAAACAATTCTCAAGAATTGGGCTATCCAATAGATATTCTTTTGAATCCGATAAGTAACAATAATAACCTCATAGTCTAACCAGAACAATCCTTAGCTTTATTAAATAAGTGATACCTGTTTCCCGCAGTTTAATTTACGATTAGATATGATCACTCCTCGAAAGTTCCTTAGTTTCAACAAGTGTTCTTACATTATCCTTTAACTTTCCCCATGAAAATTCTATACAATAAAAAGGAAAAATTCTGATCTGACTTATTGTTCCAGATATTAGTGCTTAAACAATCAAACATTATTAGTTTCCTTTTGATTGCGCGAGAGTCATAACGGTTTTTTTACGCTAAAATGTTGTTACGTAAAACGAAGTGTTATTGTAGTTATGTTTGTGTTTACAGAAATGAACAAGTCCCCTGCAGCAGCGCCAGAATACCGTCCATGGATCTGAGTAGGTTCAAAGAAATGTAATGAGGTTTTTTAGGTAATAAAATACATCTTCTTCCTACTTTAAGTTTAATTTTAATGACTTATTTAATTGGTGGCATACTATTACTAATAGCTACATAAATCCGAGTGATAGTGCGATATAAAATATTGTAGAACTTTTCTTCGAAAAATCTTTTTTTACCACTATAAAAAATAAATAAATAATACATATATTAATTCAAAAATTTAAAATTAATTAGGTTTTATGTGAACTATTTTAGTTGGTATTTTTTCTCACCACTGTTGGAAATGCGTACGTGTTTTTGTTTGTATTGTTAGGTATTTAATTGGAGTCCAATATCTATTCATTTAATCGTCTACCTAATTCTTTAAGCTTATTCTCTTTTTGATTTTCTATTTTCAACTTTATTGATTTGTTTTAACATATCTTTTGCCTTCAATTCTAAATGATTCATTGTCATCAAATATTCTGTACTATCCGCATCACTTATATAATTATAACTCACATTTTAACTGATTAATCAATTTTACAATCAACTGATTTTGTTACAAAAACGAACTTAAATTTTATTTTTTTGTTAACAATTTTGCATGTCGATTATTTTATTACTTTTTGTGACAATTTCAATCATTTGTAAATATTTAATTGATTTTTATTTCATTGTATTTATAAATACAATTTCTGTGATATGGATTTTTGTTCCGTATAATTTGTGTTTGTCTAGCTTTTCATTGGTGCCCGAACAATGGGAAGCTATGGGAAGTATCATAAATGTTGTATTTATAGTAATGATCCTATTAATGATTAATGATTGCGGTAATACTACAAACATATAATGAATAATGAAGCCCAAGATTTAAAAGGTCTTGTTTTTAAGTAGTCATCAAAATAATTTTTTTTCATTTTCTGTCTGTGTACTGATTAATATTTTTCTGTGTATAATTTCATAAATATTAGACTTCAACTAAATTTGGTTGAGATAAGTACCTGATTGGGTGATTTTTTTTAGAAAAAGTCTACAAATCGGGGGTTCATTGATGAAATGAATGTGGTGAAAAGAAATGCTGAAGTAATAATATTTGTTTTAAAAAAAAACTTTTCAATTATATTTATTCAAGAAAAAGTGTTTTATAAATCAGGTCTGTTTTTTATGGGTATTAATCTCTTAATTTAGTTTGATTATTATTTTTATTTAGTTGGGTATTTTCAAAAGGTTTAGTTATTGTTGTTTTAAAATAATACTAGAAGTTAAATAAAGGAGGGGTTAAACTTTAGAAAATAGATCGAAAATAGTTTACACAATTAGAAAAAAAGCAGTTTCAATAAATTTACTTTATTTTTTTTTGTTTTAAAATTAAATAAATAGAATTTTGATTTCTTATAATTTGGATATTCCATTCTTGTTTATAAAAACTCTATGTGGTATTAGTTTTATCGCTAAATTTGATTCTATTAGTAATAGTTTTGGGAAGTCGGAGTCTCACTATTCCATTCAAGGGGTAGGTATTATATTGCTAGATTAGTAAACATTTAATTGTATTGTAAAATTGGATTTAATGTTAATGTCATTGAATACGATAAAGGCTACCATGTAATATTGAATTATTAATCACAGATGCAACTATACATAATTTTACAAAACTGAAAATGTCATCATTTTAATCACTTTACCAGATTTTCATTTATTAAATAAGTAAATATAGTAAATTGTTAAATATTTTATTTTAACAATTCGACTTTAGCTTTCTGATATAAAGCGATAGAGTGGTGTTCATTTTCTATCAAAAATTTATTATGTAATGTAAACTAAACTATTTTTTTGATTTGTAAAGTTGAATGTCAATTAAATTTGAATTAAATTTTTTGTAATAAATTATTAACAATATTTTTTTGTATAATTGCATGATTAACTATATCTTTATCTAAATGCTTAATTTAAATAGAATTAGTTAAGTTCAGTTGTAGTACATCTAAAATGATTAATATTTGAAATTAATGTAATTTCGTTGTAAACTATTGTCATGCAAATAATTTGATTAATAAAATAAATTAGGATGTTGGAGGAATTCCACCGTGTACGGTATTCATTATAAAAGATATGCAGTTGTAATTTGTGAGTTTTTGAAAGGTACTCGACTAGATTCGCGCCGAGTCATGGTGTGAAGCGACCTGGTACACAGGTGTCAGACGCCATTTTTAATTCAACAATTTCATGCATTAACGAAACACACGCGTGTTTACATTACGTATATCTTTGTTTAAAATAAAGTAAGTATGTTTAAAAGAAATATGTAAACATTGAAATTTGTAGTTATGTTAGTTTGAATATATTCGTCAGCATGATATGTCTATAGTCAAGGAGCTCCTGTAGTCATAATTTGTGATAATTAATAAAATAAATAAAAATAAAATTCATTTCTTTTTATTTTATTTCAGTAATCAATTTATTGATTTCGGTCATTCTGATAAGTTATTATAAACGAGATGTTTACACTAGTAAAGATCTCATCAGCTACCTTCTTAGTTCTTTCATCTAAGCAGTCCGGTTTCCCTTCCAATTACAGGTAATTTTTATTATCGCTTTCAGTGAATACTACTTCGAATATTTCTGGGTTTTATAGCATAATCACATTTTATAGTCCCTATTCATGAAACTTACCATTGATATTAAATCTAAAGAAAACCTGGAGAGTTATAAAATTATACTGCCAGAAAGGCAAAACATTTATATGTATAATAAATTATCATTACAGCACCTTTCAAATTACATCATAAAATTTCTAATTCTATAATTTGAATTTTATAATTTCGTAATTTAAAATTATGATGACTTACAGTAAGTACTTTCTTGTATTGATTTCTTTTAACCAGCCACTAGTATTTTACAGTAGACCTATGACTATATATTAATACGTGTCAGTAATTTTATTGCCAACAAGCTGAGACCCGCGGTGTTACCCGCGTTTGTTGTAATAATAACCGCGGGCAACGCCGCGGGGCGAAGCTAGTCTAAAAAAATTAGCCTAAGTTACTCCTTATGTCATCAGCTATCTGATAGTGAAAGTCCCGTCGAAATCGGTCTAGCCGTTCCAGAGATTACCCGGAACAAACAGACAGACAGACAGACAAAAATTGTAAAAAATGTTATTTTGCCATATGTACCGTGTAAACATACATATGCATTTAGTAAAAAGCGCTTATTTTAATATTACAAACAGACACTCCAATTTTATTTGTTTGTATAGATTAACGTGCATTAAACGTTTTTAACTAATATTTCGTTAACATGTTCAGGTACCTTTAGTTTCTAGGGTTTACTAATGAGGCACTGGGAAAGATAAAGTGGTGGTGGTATTTCACTGTATGTTAAAAGGATGTTTTTCAATATTGTTATTATCCTCTCTAGTCACAGGCGGACCCGAAAGGTACGAAACTCCAGTTTTCGGTATCATGTAGTTCCAGTCCTGTTCCCCAGTCCCCGTGACTTACGAAATTCCATATACTAGCTTCCTTGCTGGCTACAGGCAGGCGGCCGCACAGTAAACCCTGACAAAACTGCAATAGGAAACAATGCTCCGTCTCCAAAAGAATTGTGGGAGACGGTTACATTCCTGAGGAAAGCTGGAAATTGTGGGAGAGCCATACTCCAGGACGTATAGGCCGCCTCGACCACAGAAAACCGGTGTTTGGCAAACGTTAGGTTGCTTTTCATCGAGTGAGTGAGGTAACCGAAGCCCAAATCTCTCCCTCCCCCTAGATTCTAGGGAGAAGGACTCAGAAGGCGACAGGCGACTTGTGATTCTTGAGTTCCATAGTACCATAAAACTGCACGGAATGCGTAGTGGTTTAAGTGGTCGCCACGCCGCTTCCTACTGCGCCGAGTGTTGTGGGTTCAAACCCCACATGGGACGACACTTTGTGTGATCCACAAATTGTTTTTCTGAGTCTGGGTGTTCTTTGTGTCTGTTTCATGTACGTTTGTAAAGGTCCCCACGACACAGGATATATTCTTAATGCGGGCGTTGTCCTTTAAAGAAGAAAGAAGAAAAAAATAAAAGAGTCGTGCCATAAAAAAGGGCAGAAAGATGATTATGATACAAAGTAAAACTTCTGATATATTCCTATAAAGTGACAGTATTCCCTTATACAGAGATAGTCTGCTATCACATTAAATGTTTGCTCTTTGACCAGCAATTAGAAAATTGCACACGTCTCCGGTTAAGTGTTAATGCAATAAAATACCTATTTATAGAGTTAAAGCTGTTTTATACTTTGCCACTTAGAGCTGGTGTCAGTTGGATTGTTTTGATGTTTAACGGATTCTTAATCGCTCGTCAATTAAGTTCCAGTACAGGCCTAAAAGGCAACGCGCAATTTTCCACATGAGTGATGAAGAATGATGGTCGCCACCGATTCTAACATGATACAGGAGAAGTTTATTAAGACCTGTTGGTAAAGTGGTTAACGATCCTGAATACTAGTAAGAAGTTCTGGGTTCGATGTCAAACTAGGTGACAGGACCTTTCTTGCATGATACGAATCATTGTCTGTCTGAGTAGAATGATGGTATGACTCTTGGTCCCCCGATCATAGGGAAGCACCACTAGGATGATTTTATGGCGGTAAGCGACATCCCTTAGTCCCCCTAAGGGCGGAGGGCCTTCATAAGGATCTTCAACTCCATTTGCAAAATACCAAAGTTGTCAATTCAATTGATATTGTGTGTCTGGGACAACTGTGTATGGGATTTGATTGAGTGTTTATTGTGTTATTATTAATTTGAACAAGAAAAGGCTTGAAAAAAAAACAATAAACATATATTTTCTTATTCAGCCATTTGTTACTATTGTAGAATATAACCGAAAGCCTATTAAAACAAAGGAAGTCATCAAAAAAATAAACCTTTGATAGTGAATTAATTTTAATATATTCCTTAGTGAAGGTAAGTCTGTCTTTCCAATTTAACTCCGTACCAAATCATTTAAATGAACGTAAAAATATTATAGTCAGATAAAGAAAG